TCGCGCCCCCTCCATACAATAACAACGTATTGAATTCAATAGTACTATACTTTGACGCTAAAGCTACTCGTATAATATGGCTTTAACCTCTTCTAGTATATAAGCGTCTTGCTCAACCAAAACATTAATTGCCCTGGACGTATACATACGTCCTTCCGAAGTATGACCTTTTCCATGCACTGCTATCTATAAAATTATTCCAAAAGCTTACGAATGCAAAAAAAGGAACTTGTCAGTTTTTGCGAAGGGTTTCCCTTACTTCAGAAAATTTGTGCTTATTTATTTCTTTTCTTCCTCTCTCCTACAATACATCGCTTACGTGGAAGGTGGCACTGGGAAGCGAATCTTATAACTTTTCATCGGCAGTTATGGGATTAATTATAAACTGTACAAATTATCTAGATAAGTGTTAATTTTTGTATACATATAATTTTAAATATGACAAGCCCATGGGGTCACAGGTAATTATTAAATTTTTTCTTAACTTAGTATGGTTAAATCTATATATATAAAAATGAATGTGTGTCTGTCTGTTTGTCTGTATTCGATAGATTCAAAAACCATACATCCAATTCGCCGGGAAAATTAGGGAAAGTATTAGGTATATCCCCGGGAAGGTTTTAGAAAATATTTTTTTAAAATCAGAGTTGGGGTTCTAGGCGCTCCCGAACAAATATCCAAAAATATCAAAATAACATTTAATTAGTAATATTTGTTAAAAGTGTAACCATGAATAAATTGAAAAATTAAATTTTTACTCATGAAATTTATTCAAATTACTTGAAATTTGGTAGGCAGGTTCCTTTCATAGAGTAGTCATCAACTAAGAACGGATTTCGCAAATATGGAACCTTAAGGGAAGGGGGTTTAAGGGACGTTATAGATAATTAGTTCTATTTTTAAACTATTAGATGTACAGTCTTGAAACTTAGTACGCAGATTCCTTTTATAAAACAGAGATCCCCTACAAACTGATTTTTACCAAAACCGACCTCCAAGAGGTGTTCAGGACGCTTAAGGGATCGTTATGCATAATTATTTCCATTTTTAAACTATTAGGTGTACAATCTTGAAATTTGGTAAGCGGATTCCTTTCATAGAGTAGAGGCCCTCTACAAAATGGGTTTTTGAGAAAATCGACTTCCAAGTGGCATTGTGGGGACCAAAGGGTCATTTTACATAATTATTTCAATTTTTAAACAATTAGACATACAGTATTGAAATTTGGTACGCGGATTCCTTTTTCAAGCAGTAGAGATCCGCTAGAAAATGAGTTTTGTGAAAATCGAATCCCAAGCGGCGTTGCGGGGACTTAAGGGGCCTTATAGATAATCATTTCCATTTTTAAATTATTTGACGGACATTCTTGAAATTTGGTAAGCGGATTCTTTTCCAGGAGTAAGTTCCGCTACAAAATGAGTTTTGTGAAAATCGACCTCCAAGTGAATGAAGGACGTTATAGGTAAATTTCTCCTTTTTTAAACTATTAGATGTAAAATCTTGAAATTGGGTAGGCAGGTTCTATTCATTGAGTAGAGATCCTCTATAAGATGAGTTTTGTCAAAATCGCTTCCAAAGTGGCGTTGCAGAGGCTTAAGGGGCGTTATTGATAATTATTTCGAATTTTAAGCTATTAGACGCACTCTAGAAATTTGATAAGCGGATTCATTTCATGGAGTAGAGAACCGCTACAAAATAGGTTTGGGGAATATTGACCCCCAAAGAGCACTGAGGGGGATGAAGGGCCGTAATAGATAAATATTTCCTTTTTTCAACTATTAGATAGAGTTCCTCTGACAAAGAGTTTTGCAAAAACCGACCCCCCAAAGGAGTGGGATTGCGAGGGGTTAAGCAGAGTTATAGAAATATTTCTGTTTTTGGATTTAACCCATTTACTCGAAATTTGTTGAGCACGTTTCTTTAGTTGGACAGAGTTCCATTAAGAATGGATTTTACGGAAATCTCCAGGGGGAAGCAGGGGGAGCTATTGGGGCTAATTGATAGACAAAATTCCTGTTTTCGAACTACTAGGACTATAATAATAAAATTTGGTCTGCATGTTTCTTTTGTTGAATTGGAATCCGCAAAGAATGCTCTCAACAGGGTTACGGGGCGTATTGATGATAAAGATGCCATTAGTGCTCTATTAGATTTAGTCTTGAAATTTAGCACGCATGTTTATTTTATGGAGTAGAGATCCACTGTGTGTGTGTGTGTGTGAAAGTTGCTTCGGCGGAAATCTATATGATTATTGGGTTAAGTAAACGCAAAAAAATCTTTCTACTTCTATTTTAGATATTAATAGAAATTAGAAATTATAATTTCTGTCCTGTTTATATCAATTTCAATTATTTTATTCAATACAATCAAATTCTTAATGCTAGATATCAATAATTTATATATATGTAAACAGTATATATTTATACAACATCGTGAAATACCCAGTGGAGCGGGTGAGTAAGTGCTAGTTAATTATAAAATATAATTGTATCAGTACTGAACAATGTAAGTATATTATATCAGTGTAAATGTGTATTTTATTTTTTATTTTGTCAGAATGTATTTTGTGTGTTTACTTTCAGTAAATTAATACATTTTGTCTACATAATCTTTTGCTTTCGTCGTTTCAATATGCTCGCGCCCCCCCCCCTTTCAGAATTATCTCGCCCTTTTAGGAAGGCGCACCCCACAGTTTGAGAAACTCTGTGTTAAACGATTTCCATCGTAAATGTAAAATTTTACATTAATACAGCACATAGATCCATGATACGCTAAAAAGCTCGACATTAATACATTAAGGTATGTGACTACCCAAAATTCATCATTTTGTTAAAAATTTTCGAAAGTTCTTTTCTGTTTTTATTTTACAGCCCATACATTAAAGATTCCAAAAATACTCTATTTTTCTTTCTACGATATCCAGAAGCAAAGTTATAGCATAATTAGTAAACCGGAAATGGAGTTTACAAAACTGGAAGTAGATCCCTACACAAATTATTTTTAAGTTATTGAATTGATATTTTCAAAACATATTTTATTTAGTTCTATCTGTGTTATGAATCAAAATCTAATCTGTGTGCTTATATTTATGTAGTTTATTGCTTTTTTATGAAAAAAAAAGTCATTAATTTTTTAAAAACCATGTTTTTGCATAAAATTTGGCATATTTAAAAAACTTTTAAAAATATTACAAATCTTTTACTTTCTAACACATATACAGATGTTATACACGTAATGTATAAATATTATTTGAATACATTTATTAGAATTTTGTGTAACTGCAATTTTTCATCAAAATTTCACTAAAACGACAATTGTTATAGTCTATAAAGCTCTCCAGAAAACATCAAAAGGTTAAAAAAAAGTCCAAATTAGTTGAGCATGAATCTAAAAAAAAATCTTGACCTATTAATATTGTGTGAGTTTAAAAAATGTACAATTAGTAGAATATTTTTTATACTGTATTAAAATCTTTAAATGCATTTTCTGAGAAACTATGTTTTTCAATTTCTTGCTTCACGGTAAAGATCACTACAAAATTTCTTTAAGATATTGAATTAAAATTTTCCGAAAATGTTTTAATTAGTTTTATCTGTATTCTAGACTATAATCTAATCTCTGTGTATATATTTATGCATTTTATTGCACTTTTTGTGAGAAAATAACATTAGTTTTTTGTAAAAAACTGAGTTCTTGCATAAAAAATGACATATTTCAAAAACTTTCAAAAGTATTACGAATCTGATAGCTCTAAACACAGATAATGATATTATTTATGTACTGAACAGATATTATTCAAATATATTAATTAGAATTTTTAATACAAGCCTTACCGTAAGTGCAATTTTTCACTAAAATTTCACTCCAAATTCCCAATATATCCAAAATTATTTTTAATTTTGCGGAAATCGTACTTGAATTTCTAGTTGTAAGCCATATTTCAAATAAAAAAAGTGTTTATTTAGTTGAAAATTTATATATTTCGAAAAAAGTGCTCCGAAGGTAGTCACATACCAAAAAACGCAATCACTAACAACGCAATTATCCGAATATGTAAATTATGTCCAACACGAGACACTACTGGACAGAAATTTTACATCAATGCGATAAACACACAAAGCTCTGTTAGTTCCAAGCGCCCCTGCAAGAACCTCCTCACACCTTAACATGACACTCAGAGTTTGAAGACTATCAACTTATTTCAAAGAGAGAACTCCCAATAGATCATCATTTAATACCACACGTTAAAAGTCTACACCGGGAATGCTTTCTGTGAAGCGTACTAAAATGGAGATGACCGGGAATTCCTTCGCCGAACTGGCCATTATTATTCGGTAGGATGCACTATTTAAATCTCTTCTGAATATTCTGAGTGTGAAATGAGATATTAATGAAATGAAAGCCACACGGACACTTGCAGAAGGTCCTAGCTTTGAGAATTGCTAATTTCATTCGGGGACTAACTGCATTGTGTTGGCCTATACGACACTAACTTCGTCAACAAGTTTCGAACCTTGCTATGGATAATGAGAAGGTTTCGGAGAACAGTTTGTTTGCGCTTCTAGTACATTAGGATAATGTTCCTTCGCTTCTTAGTTAACAGGATTTCGGATTGATTCTAAAGCATTAAATTCGTGTCGGGCATTGGACCAGAAAGTATTGACCATGTTATGCACTTTAGTTACTCATTTTATTGTTAATCGACTTTTCCTTCACTGTTTTATCACAAAATATTAAAAACTTCATTAAATATTATGAATGGGTCACGCGAAAGGAATATTATTTGCCATTTTAATGTAATGGGTTTATCTTTCCAATTTTTAGAGAGTTCAATTTTATGTTTACATATTTATACTACTTATGAGCTCTTTCCCGTTAGAAGTATTATATAACCTTATTTAGATGTTCTGTAAGCCATTTTAAGTATTATTTATGTTAATAATTTATAAATATTGTACTAAATATGCTATTGTACTAATCATTGGCACCGCAACCACCCAGCCAGTATGGTGGATATGGACCTTGGCTTGTAACCGAGTGGGTTCGGGTTCGAATCCCGACTAAGGTATGGTTCTATTTTCTTCGGGAAAAGAAGCCGGACTTTCGCCTGTAATGGATTCCCGTCTCGAAATGAAAGCAAAACACCCCTTCTCTTATATGCTGGGATTATCATGTGTTATAAATATCTATATTCTTCTGTTTGTATTGTATGCTTTCTGTTCTTCACGTATTCCATATGTATCCCAGGATAAAAACACACGACAGCAGCAACAACATTGATACCGCAACTCATATTGACTATCGAAATAGCAAAGATTCTTTTTTATTTAAATGAGTATACATCTACCAGGTGTGACACATACACACACAAAAAAAAACACGAAACTGGTTCAATAAATCATTGTACGGACAGAATCAGTTCTCCGTGACATTATCATCTTCAAGGTAGTTCCTTTCAGCATGCACATGCTTCTGTGTTCGGTGCTGTCATTGCTGGTAATAATTCTGGAACCAGGTTTTTAGAAGACCCTGCAGGAAATTCTCCGTTTTTGCCTAAACCTCTTCAACTGAGGTAAAACGGGTTATCTTTAAGCAAGATTTAACTGTAGGAAACAAAAACAAAAAAGTCATATGGGGCCAAAACATGTGAATAGGGAGGATGCTCCATCACACTACTCTTTTTGCTGGTCATACACTGCTTGACAGGTAGGGTTGTGTGAGCGGAGGCAATGTCTTAGTGCAACAGCCATCCGTCAAACCACAACAGTAGCCTTTTTTTTCTAATTTTTTTCGAAGTCTTTTTAGTACTTCAATGCAGTAGTGTTGATTAACAGTCTGACTACTGATGTGACCACTCATATTACGTAGTTTAGCAATGTTTTGGTCTGTAACCGTGTCCAGGACGTTCATCCTCCCCCACACTGAAAACTGCTACTGCCATTCAAGACATGTGTATGAGACAAAGTTTTACCTCCATAAGCCGAGGATAATAGATTTGAAATGGATCCGTGGCTGATTTCTTAAGTTTCACAAGAAACTTGATGTTGATTCGACACTTTTCCGGTGGAATGCAGTTGCACGTTTTCACTTAATGACGCAGTGATCTCAACTGGAGTGATCAGTTAAGGCGAAACCACCCACATGAATAGAGGAGGATGACGTCAGCAAAACAGTTGTTACCAACTAAACTCTTTTTTTCAAGCTACACACTTAATCTATTTTTTTTCACACCTTGTGCATACACACACGCACAAACATACACATACAGCTGGCCATTAAAATTTCAACACTGTAAAGTACGGATGATATAAACATCAAAATTTAGAGAAAGAAAAAATGATAATGTGATATGTAAATGATTAGCTCTTCAGTATAATTTAACAACGCAGGGGAGAGAAATGGCATCTCAAACTCTGTTTGAAAGAAAAATTATGCTGAAAATTTCTCGTAGGAACATTGCATTTGAATGTTGGTTAATTGCAAGAATAGGATGTTAGGGCTCGTATAAAAATGGAAAATTGCTTCCGGCACGCATTGGAGTACAATAATGTTAGGATAGCGAGTTATCGATAGTATGCTTTATGATTTCGTGATGTTGCTACTCGCGTTGTCCAAAATATAACGACTATACCGATTTCAATAATACTATACCTTGATAATGAAGCTACAATACACTTTAACCTCTGAAGAGCCACCGGCATATATGAACGTCTCACTCAGCCAAAGCGTTAAATGCCCCGCACGTATATATGCTTCTTTCCGAAATACGATCTTTTCTGTGACTGCATAAAAATTTTCAGAAGTTTTTGGAATACAATACAAGTACCTTATACCAAGTATACCAAGTTTATGAATGATTTATTTTTTTCATAGAAGGTTTTATTTATTTATTCCTTTTCATCCGCCCCCCCCCACCCCGAAAAAAACATCACATACGCTTGACTATGTGGAAAACGGAGAGATTGGGGAACGAATCCCGTAACTTTTAATCAGCAGTTTCAGGATTAATTATTAACCGTACAAATTATCAAGATAAGTGTTGATTTTTGTAAAAAATTTATGTTTGACAAGCCCATGGGGTCACTGGTAATTATTAAGCTTGTTCTTAACTTAGTATTGTTAAATGAATTATAACATACAATGTGCGGTAGTGATGCATTTATTGGTGTATTATATCAGTGTAAATGTGTACCTTATTTTTTATTACGTCAGAATGTATTTTGTTTGTTTACTTTAAGTAAATTAATAATTTTTGTTTAAATAATCTTTTGTTTTCGACTTCACAGTATGCTCGCTTCCCCTTCGTAGGGATATCACGCCCCCCAGGGGGACACGCCCCGCAGTTTGAGATCTAGCCTTTAAAGAGAATACAGAAGTTAATCTTTAATCTAAAGAATACAGAAGGTCGTTCGCACTTGATAGAAACGATTTTGCAATTTATTTTCTCGTTTGCACTTTGAGATAAAACTTTGGAAACTTCAGAATAATCCCTTGCTAATGTTTCTTTTGATTGGAAGGTAAAATAAAATTATTTCGAAACTGGTTCTTAAAACTGATAGAGGGCTCGAAAGGGACGTTCGAAGGGCGCTTTCCGAGGAGAAATATTCATATTGGCAAATTATAAAGAGGTGTCAAAATCTCGGTTATTGCATTGAAATAAAAGGTATTTATAATTTATTAAATTTAAAATTATTAAAACATCTAGCTGAAAGTAAAAATGAAAACATGAACACGGAACTTGCTTCTAAGACTGTTCAAACGCAGACAACTATGATCTTAAGAAAAAAATCCACCAACTCAAAGATTCATTGCATCGAAACTAGGAATGTATTCCGGCACTGTCATTAAAATCATTCACGAAGATTTAAAGTTAAAATATATATTTAACCCTGTGGCCGGAACATCTATTTTTTGCCGCTCTTAGAAACATCCGTCTGACAGATAGGTGCGCAAATCTTTTTGAATTTTATTACCTTAAGGACTGTTTTAAATGTCCTTATCGCTCATAAAATAGAGTAAAAGTTTTAATATTTAAGTCTTTTTATGAGGCACATTATATTAATATATTTTCTCCATATGTATTGTGACTATTATTTTTATAAAAACTGATGAAAAGTTATTTATATTCATGTAAAAATAATTAAAAATAATAATACCAAAAACGAAAAAATCTCTAGGAATATCCGTCTGATAGACCGTGATAGATAAGAAAAATCTCACCTATCGTGATTTGAAAAAGATCACCATTTGATCCTCTCACTGGGTAAAATCCAACTCAAGGTGCCAAGGCAGTTCGCCCCAAAAATCACACCGCACACAGAGTTATATCTACAGGCATCAAAGCGCATCATCCCCGTCCGAGAGACGGATGCTTCGGTCAGAGGGCTAAGACTAAAGTTCTCTCATTTTTTAAAACATACTGCTGAAAGAAAAGCAAATTGTAGAAAATAATGTAAAAAACATCTAGCTGCTGAAAAAGGGAAATTTGTGGTAACGCTGTAGCATGAGTATATTTAAGTGACTGTTATAACAGAAGATCAGTTTTCTATTGCTCAACTGACGGGAACGATCGTATGAAATGACTTTGTTGGTATACAGTGAAGTTTCCAAAGGGATTCATGATAGTTGCAAGATTTTCTGACAATGGGAAATTAAAAATCAAAACATTGTCCAGTAAAGCCAAAATTAATTCACTCTACTATCATCAGAATATTTTAGAACCAATTTTTGAAGCAGAAATTCCAACCTCATGTTAAAAGGTCATTGATAATGTTGATTTTCATATGGAAAAAAAACTTCAAGTCCCAAGTCTAACGAGAGGAGGGCATGACTAAGGAAATTCGTATGTGGATGAGACTTAGTGAAATATTAGTACTCCCTTAGTGTGTTCAACCCTTAATGTAATTAAGCCTTATGACCAATCAATTCAGAGAAAATAGCCTCCGAAATTCATACTTAGATTTTATACAGTTAAGTTATAATTACCTCCAGCGACGCAGTGGCATAGTTGGTAGGACACCTGCTTTCTACGCAGGCGGATAGGGCTCGAATCGCATGATCAACTTTTTTTTCCAATTCATTTAATTATTTTTTAAAATTCAATAAATTTTTATGGAGGGTTTATTAAATATTAAATGATATGTAATTATTTTGTATTTTATAAAGTAAAGAATTACTGTAATTTTGTAAACACATTTATGTTATATATTATATAAATATATTTTTATATTAACAAATAATATTTATAATAAAATATATTATAATAAATATTAAATGATATTTCTTTATAAAAATTAGTTACACATAGTTTTGTAATGTGAAATACAATATATTATAAATAAAATATTTTATATAATATATAATAATCTATAAAATATATTATTAAATTAAATATTTTATAGTACATATAATAAAATGGAATATGTCTTTTTATATATTATTAATTTAATTATTTTATAGTTATATAAAATATTTAATAAGTCCTTTTTAAATAAACTTATCTAATTTTAAAAAAAATAGCTAAATGAATTCAAAAAAAAAAGTTGCTCGTGTGACTCGAACCCTTATTCAGCCGCGCAGAAAGCAGACGTCTTACCAACTATGCCACTGCGTCACTGGAGATAATTAAAACTTAATTGTATAAAAGGTGAGCATGAATTTCGCAGGTTATTTTCTCCGAATAGACTGGCCATTCGGCGGAATTATGTTGAAGGTTGAACACCCTAAGGAAGTACTAGTCTCGTCCCCAACTGAATTTCCTTAGTCGCGCCCTCCCCTTGTAAGTCGCTTATTCAGGAATTCAGGAATAAAGTGTAACCCATTGGAGGAAATTTATGTACCATCACCTGATGCTTCTTCTCCAATGGACTTTGTGCTTTCGGTTTATTAAAACGAGCCTTAGGAAAACGGCATCCAAGAACACTGAATGGTTCAAGAGGAATGGAGTAAAATTGGTGTAACAGTACTAAGAAAAAGTTTACTTTCATTAAAAAATAGAGCTAAACCTATTGTTCAGAAACATGACTATCAGATAGAAGCAAATTAGACACGATTTGATAATTAAATTAT